TCTTCACGTTTGTGAATTCATCCGAACTCACAATACGTCAAATATACTTCGCTTTTTATATTACATAGCAATATATAAATGGCTTAGATTCCGAATTCGAAATGGTAAAATATTTTTAAGAAAATAACAAATTGTTACTTCTTATTTTAATTCCCTTGTGTTTATTTTTAGAACATTGCAGCTGGTACTTAAAGAAATTATTTTCTCTCGTGGATTACATAAATGCCTGGTTCATATACACAATACAAATTACAAATATAATATATTATATTTATGACAATGAATGACGTATAATTCGTATTTTCATATCCATGTGCATTTTTTTTGACAGTATGACATTCTTTTAGAGTTATAATTTTTTAAATTGTATATTTCAATATCATTGTCCGTTTTAAATGCGTCTTGTGCTATGGATTCTTATTGAACATGTTTTTGAAATAAATCAACAATATAAAATAGTATGATATGAAATGCTTAAAGGTAATAATTTTTTTCAAAATGTATTTGTACAAGATAGCAAAAAATTGTAATATTATTTATTCGATTGTTAAGTATTTCAGTATTTTTAGAAAATATGTAAGCTCCAGATTTTCGTCGATTGATATAGAGATTAATAAGTTAATAAATTAATGAATTATTATTTCAAAAAAATTAGTACATATTAGAGTGGTAATATTTGTATTATCAACTGAATATTGTAATGAAAGTGTTTAATGCAGATTATTACCAATTTCAAAAATAAAATGGAATGCAAATTGAATATTATAAGAATCAGAGCTATCTATGATATCTATCAGTGAGTTATGTTAATTGGTTTTTAGATTTAATCTGTAAATCTCAAACGACACAATCGATCTTAAAAAACGAAAGAACTATTTATTCTATTGAATTATGTTGAATAAATAGTATTTGTATTTTGCACATCGTACCTGACATAAATAGTAACGTGCAAGGGATTTTAAATTTAATTTACACAGGTACATGTAAATTGTGAATATAATGTTATATTAATGTTCCTAGTTTTTATATATTATTTATATGATGTGTTTGTTTAAAATCGATGTAACGGAGTATCGGATATATCAATGAACATAATGTTGTCAAATTAAATGTAGGAACCTACTACCTATAAAGAGAATACAACAGTGTAATCACCCATTTTAATTTCAGTATTTTTTTGTATATATTATTTACTTGACGCTGTATATTTTTATTATTTGAACAAAACATTAGAATATTTTTTATTTTAAACTTTATTATGCAACCTTTTGTGAAGCTTGAACATTTTTTAAAAAGACTAACAACAATAAATTACACTTGAAACGACAAAAGCACATAGGTAGGTATAATAATCATAATATTGGCCGAACAGTGTAAAAAATATGGATTCGATTGAACTCTCCAGCAGAACTTCCTAGAAAATTCTGAAGATAAAGTATCCTTTGAGTTAAAAAGCTATATTACATTGAAAACCTTGATATATCTATTGACCCTTGCTTTGTCTTTATACTTGACACAAATTATGACGGATTTAGTCTTTTTTAGATTCTAAAAAAACTACCGTGTTCACTAAAATATTCCATTACATTTTACATATTTTTTCTGTCTATTATTTTTAAATAGAATGGATGATAATTACCCTCAAAATGGAATCAATAAAACCCTCACGTTTAAATAACAGTTTGGAAGTAAATTTTTATTTTGTGATACCGAGATGTTATTAGGAAACGAATAGGTGAAAATACTTTTTTAAATTAAACTTGAAAGTTTATTGGTAAAGTGTAAATTGATAATACATTTTTAATAAGAAAAAATTAATATTGTTCAAGTTTTTTTTTACCACAAGTCATCTCAAAATTAAATTTGACATTAATTTAGTTTCTACACCAACGCGATTACGTTATAATCTGGTTCGGTAAAAAAGTGAAAAAAATATTAAGAACTAATCATTAATTATGTGTATTGATTTTTTAACGTAGATATTATATTAATCTTTATGACTTTAATCTTGAGGAATTTTGCAATATTGATGATTATTTTTAATATGACGTTACACCTATAATAATTGTTTCGGTGGTGGTGTAATAATAAATATTATTTTGAATAAACAATATTTTTTAATTTTTACAAGAAAGATCTTTAAATTTTTACCTATGGGCTATGAAATAAGTATATTATTTCATACGTGTAAAATCTATAATACATAAAAACAAAAAAACGGTATATTAAAATGGTGGAAAAATTTTGAGGAGAGAAGCTATCAAATATTAATGATACTCATAGTTGTATTCTTAAAATTAATTTATACGTCACTGTACTTACTATATACATTTATTTTTTAAATTTTAATGTATTTAATTTGTAATTGGTTTGTAATTAATATTATGCACCCAGCAGATAACGACACAATTTACGTTTAAAGTCATTGAATGAGTCTCGGAGGATTACTGGGAATATAGCGGACTACGAGATTTAAGCAACAATACTTAAGAAAATTAATTTAAGAAGTATTTTATTTTTCAGTAATTTATTTAAAGAAATGTAGTAAAAATATCAAATTCTCATAGACTTTTCTACAGATTATGATCGTTTTATGTAATTTACTTATGCATCATAGAATAATTAAGTATGGATATTAATTGGTATTTGGTATTTGATACAGTGAAATAAATGTTTAAAGGTTCAAATTCAAGACAACTTGGAATCAAATGCTTGTTCGTTCTTTTTAGTTTGTTGTTAAAGCATTCAGAATTCAGATAGTTCCGAAAACAACAACGATGTTATAGATTTACAATATGATAAATCGAATAAAAAGTTTTTTATTATTAGAACACAATAGAGATTCAAGTTTTTATTTAAATTTAAAGTTTTATTATGATTTAATGATGGAGATAGTCTTATTTAATCTAAAACGACAGCATAACTGATTTGGAATTGACTTTCTTTTATTTGCGTCAAATCGGAATAAACTCGTTAATCAGCTTCAGAATGACAGCAAAAATCGAACAGTAGTTATTTCTTAATATGCCGAATTTTTCTTTCTTTAGATTATAAGTTTATGGGTCATTTAACTTACTTTGATTTATATTTTTGAATTAGTTTTGGACAAACGTGATATAATATCCTATTTAAAAGTACTTAATGGACAATTTATTTAAAATATGTAAAATCTATACAACTCCAATAAGATACTTGCCCCTAAAAATAACGATACATGTTTCATCTATTATTAAGAGAGATAGAAAAAGTGGTAAGCCGATATTTTCGTTTTGTTAAATAATAAATTGGTACCGAAGTTGATTCCGTTTCCAAGTAAATAATCTTTTATGATATTATTTACCGTAAATGTAGTGACTATAGGTGTATATAAAAATACATATTTTTTAATAAACTGGCATATTTTAGAATTTTATTATAATATTTATACATTTGTATGTGTATATTTTTAATAAACTTGTTTATTAATTTAATTTTGAAGTATACTGCCTATCTGTTGAACTCAAAATTTCAGAGACTATTTGTAAAAACGAATCGGGCGTAGTATTGTAGGTTAAAAATCACAATTGATCTAATAAATAATGATTTTATTGAATAGGTAATCTAGAAACTCTGAACAAATAATGTAGATAATAGTTGATAAAATATGAGGAAATATTAAGCACTTATATAATAAGTACCTATCTATATATTTATAAGGAAATAAAAATACAAAGTTTATAATATCATTATTATGTTAAATATGTATTGAAGCTTAAAACATATACAAATCAAATATTGTTATTAGTTATGATCGATTTTGCTTTGTTGCTTGCATTTTATAGATGCGTAGTTAGGATTAAGTAACACGTCTGATTTCAAAACACCATAGTGTGGTTTATTCACTTAAACTTATATAATCACTATAACTTGTTATACAAATCCTTTCACCAAGTAATTTGAAAAAAATGTATGAACAAATAATCTAATATATTATGGGAAAATAAAGAGTATTATGTATATTTTCAAAACAGGATTTATGCCGATAATGTGTTTGACAACGGATAACTAAAAATTATTCAAAAATATACAGTATATTGTTTATGTAACACGACTCCTATGTACAACCTACGAACTACGAAGTATAATATGTATGTCCATTAGTGATGTGTCCTATAACATGGTAAATATTGGTATAGGAAATGTATTTATATTTTAGATTTTGAGTTCTATCGAGGAATTTAGAGATTTTAAAATTATGTGCTTATTAATTAATTTTAATTGAATTTTTTAGATTAGCTGTGATGGAATTCTAGGAAGATTTCAGGGAATGCCTAAACAATTTATACATATCTCTTCTATCAATTGGAATTACTTAATTTGTAGATGGTGCGTTTTACAAGTGTAACGCTTAGTTTTTAAACACTCAAAACTGATAAAACAATGACCATAGAATACTATAGTAAATTCGTGTCAGTAATTCTTAGTGATTTTACAATCTACAGTTTCCATAAATATTAGTATTTAAAACCATATAACTGTTATTACTTTATTAGTATTATATGATAGTGTATTCATATTATATAGTTTTAAAATACCTGTCGACAAAAATATCTTACCAAATCGATTTAATTATTGGTCAAAAATATTCTTAAGATTCGATCAGAATTATTAGACGATTTCTTAAAGAAAAATAAATAAATTGTATACAGTGTGACTATAAAAAAATATTGATTTTTGACCGTTCAAAATACGTGATTCTAACAATAGGGTTCGTTCTACTCTTGAGATGAGTTGGCTTTTGAACGTTAAATTCTGTCGGCAGATAAGTCAGATAAGCATCTGTCGTTTTTTTTTTTCATATATTAGCGGCCCACAAAGCCATTTACATACGTGAACATTGTTCAAATCGGGATGGTTTTTTGTTTCAATTAAAATGCAACTGTTTAAGCACACTACACATATTTTGGTTTGAAATAAAAGATAAGTTTAATTAATATATACAATATTAATAAAACACTAACCTTGGTAGAATTATGGTGCAATGAATCGAATGCTTCTCCTTTGGATATTAGGTTCTTCAGTTTTAATGGTTTCTGGACAGGGACGTTTGAATGGCCGTTTGACAATCCATCAGCGGCTAAATCAACGAAACGACTACTGACCAACGATCCTCTTTTTGTTGTATTACCCGGTATGACTAATTCTAGTGGAACTGATTCGTCCGGAGTGTCACGTGCCATTCTCGTCAATTATTTCTAAATTAATTCAAAATATTTAAATACTTTAAAACTATTTAAAACTAAATTTCATAAATTTATTTTGATTTATAAAAATGTCAAATCACTCACAATGCTATGGTACCTACATTAAATGTATTTTATGACAATAACGAAGGTAAGTATTAAAAAATCAAACGCATAGTTAATGTGTTTTAGTCCTGGGAAATATTTGAAGAATAGTAATGATATTTACGATTGATTTTGCAATTCTTAAACCTAGACAAGTAATATTATTATAAAAATATATAATATTTAAATTAAAAAAAAATTATTATTTGAATGTTATAATAATATATTACCTACATTAATAGTTTATTATCATACATTTTAAATTATCATTATTTACCACTCTACTTCATATTCTTCATAATATAACACGTATATCCCATTATAATAACCACAGATAAAATTGACAACAATCATATTTTGAAAATGTCCTTAAGAGCCTTAAAATAATTATATAAGATTAATGCATATCCCTAATGAGTTTCTTTGGGTTAAACTACTTTTTCATCGGTTTAGCATTACCTGACTATTAAGCATAATGACTTATTGGTTGTTTATTTCAATGAACCCTTTTAAAATGTTTGAGTGTAATGAATAATTGATTTTCTTTTATTGTATTTTACCATTATTTCTAAAAAGAGAGTAGAAATTTCGTGTAAGAATTTTTTTTACATAATTAAAAAAAAGCACTCTGTTATCATAGATTTGCAATATTGTACCTCGTAGTTTAGTAGACCACTGTATAGGATATATGTTCAAATGTTGAATTCAATGATAATTCATTACATACAAAACGTACATAACGATTCTCTGTATAGACACAGTGTCTATGTCTAAAGATATTTTATATAATTTATTCGTATAACTATATTATAAGTAATTTATTTGCCGAATATCGGTAATAATTAATAATAATGTAATCTTAATCAAATACCTACCTATACTTGTTATACTTAATTGTTCTATTTGTATAATTTATATTTTTTAAATGTCTGTAAGAACAACTTACGAGGAATAGCCTAGTAATAAAAACTTATATTTTAAGCTTCTTATAAAAACAAACTGAAAACAATAGAAAAAAAGAAAAAATTTCAAATTTCTTTAAATAGTTCAAAAAGAGTCAAAATATTTTGAAAATGTTATCAATGTTTGCAAAAATGCAATTTATAAATATTTTGTGAAAATTTCAAGTATGTGACGTAATTCTTTTTTAAATTCCAATAAAAATCAAAATTGATTTTATCGAAAACCGGTGTTGCGTAAAAATTTCGTTTTTAATTATTTTTTAAAATTTTTTCCCTATTATTTGGTCAAAAGTTTCAATGTATCACCTATATAATTTTTCACACCATGAATACCCTTAAAGTGGAAAATTGAAGCATTTTTCACTACTCCAAAAGGTGATAACAGATACAAAAATCTAGAATTAAGAAAGTATAAGCTGTGTATAAAATAAATTATACATGATTGGAGTTTAGGAACAACTAAGACAAATCAAAAAATTAAATAAAATTACAAAATATATTTAAGTCTTACAGTTCAACTTTTCAAAAACAAAAACTGAGATTAAATTTTAAACAAAATTAAAATAGGTAGGTACATACGAGTACATCGATTTTGTTACAAAATTATAGTTTAATGTTGATTTGCTTCTATTGTATATTTGTAAGGTGTTGAACATATAATAGAAACCATACGTTGGGAATAAAAAACATTTGATTTGGAATTAAAAATATAATTTTCAATTATCAACATATTCAATGTATGTGTGTTTTTGCAAATTGCAATTAAATACACACGGGAAGAAAGGGTAAACGCAGTTAGACAATTTTATCGTTCGTTTATTTCCTTCCCTAAGTATTGTAAATTAAACCGTTTAATAGTCTATTAATAGTCTAATGTACACTCAATACACTCAATAATAAATACAAATAAAAGTAGTTCAATAAACGTCTTGGGATGGTTAATGGTCAAATAATATGAGCGAGGGAAAGGGGTCAAAGACTTGTGCTTGTAGTTAAATATTATTTGCAAGTCATCGGGGAAAACGTTTTTCTTATTCTACTTCGCGGGGGTATTATTGTTGTACCGGATGTATGTATTATGTTCGTCCAATGAACCGGAAGGGTCGATTATATGCCACTTGTGTTAGAATAACGTTCCGACTGACCGCAGTCGCCTGCCTCTTTACATACAGAGCATAATAATTATTGTTTTTGTTTCACCTCACCCTCTTTTCGGTAAAAATTAATAATAGTAATAAATTATTTATAATGTTGAAAATACAAAAAAAATACAAAAATACAATCGGTGTGTGCTGAAACACTGTGTTGTACCCCTGTAAATTATACCTTCGGACAAAATAAAAAAATGACAATATAATAATAATAACACTATTGACAGTGTGTATTATCAAGTACCAAACAGGTAACAAACAGACTGCTGGTTCCTGATTTTAAATGAAGAGTTTTTTTATTACTGTCAAAAATGGCTTTTAGTTTTGACATATGGTTTTTTTGTTAATGTATTCGATACATATTTAGTAATAAATATTATTATGTATTTGTTTAACGCGAAAATCGCCAATCGGTGAGTCTTTTTTTATGTTGATATTTACTGTGTGGAAAAATCAAAAAAACAAATCGCTCTGGAGACGAACTTCATCAGCGAGAACTGTTAACTGTCTAAAACGCAGTATACGTTTTTTCTACATTGATTAACATTGGTCATTTTTTTCTTGATTAGTTGTTTATAAATTTGACAAAGTCTGAAATAAAGTTGAATGTATCGTATTTTTTTTTTTACGAACTTCCTAAGGTGTAGATTTTGTAATAAAATAATAGTATTCATAATAAAAGTAAATGATTTGAGCACGGTTCTACACTAATATGCAATTTTTAAATGTAACGACTGATCCATAAATCTATATTACTCTTAAAATAGCAATAATAATATGTCATCTTTAATATCTATTTTACGTAAAATAATAAATTTGGATTTCATACTTCCAAAAACTGGAATACGCAGTTGAAAATTATATTTATATATCCATTATAAAATCTATAGAGAAGTCTTGGTGATATTTTTCTATTTTTTTTTTTAAGAAGCTGTTATCAGGGATTTTAAAATAGGGAGTTTGAACACTTATAATTCAGATCATTTCTTGATAAAAACAATTTGAAAAATAAACTCGAGAGTAGATAATTTAGATAATGGTCTTCTTCATACATTTTAGAATAGTATTGTACCTAACCTAACCAGTTTTGTAGTATAACATAATAAAATATTACGGAGTGTGATAGGTATACATCAGAATAGATACTACTAATATGATATTTTAAATATTTGATCACAATAATATATTATTTAAAGTAGTAAAGTATTTGTATAAGTTATTGTTTGTAGAAATTTCAAATAAAATAAATGTTTTCTTTTAAACCTTCATGGAATATCATTTTACCATAATAAATACATGACCACATTTTTTTTTTTAAAGAAATATACAATCTGTACCCGGAGGGCACTATAAGAATACGTGCTAATTTACAGTGACGTTGAAATGCTTGCTAGAAAACCCTCCCAGTAGTGACACTTTCTGTTGAATTTTTTTTTTTTTTGATTAGAATATTAGACTAATTCTTTTAATTTAAATAATTTAAATAATTAATATTTTCAAAGTAAAATCTGTGTGATATAGAATCTATGAGTTGTACAATGAACTCAGAAGAGTTATTTGAATGCAATATTTTATTATAGCCCTTACATTTAATATCTAAATACTGAATACACCATAACCTGCACTAAGGTCTAAATTCTAATGTTAGCGAAGGGAGAAGAGTATCCTGCATTATGCAGGTGTGCAATCCAGCTATATCGTGTTCTACTTCTATAAACTAATTTTTTTTAACCGTATTTTTCTGATTATTTTGCTAATTATTTTTAAACTTAAAGTTTATCTGTTATTCTTCTTGTGAAGTATTAGATTGAAATTACTTTTAACAGCTCATGATTTTTAATAATTTATATTTTTAAGAGTAAGTTATGTACAGAAAACAGTGGAAAATAATGAAATACCTAGGGTGTTACACTATAATGTATTGGAATTACTTATATGCAATAAAACTAAGTAATAAGATTACAATTTCAAAGTATAAATCAAATACAACAAGAACGATTATAGAAAATATGTATAACAACATAAGTCTATCAAGAGGATTAGTAGATAACGATGAGCGAGTGGATGCAGAATTATATTAAGACAGTTTCATAAACGGTTTAAGTGATAAGAAAAAGAAATATAAGAGTTGTATATTAGATTGGTAAGTTACGTTCATATTAGGTAATTGTGTAAATGTATAATATTATTAATCAGGATAAGTACTAAAAAAAAAAACTGAAATAAATTAGTTTTCTATCTCAACTTTGGATACTAACCACTGGAAGTAAACATTTGTTTTTTTTACTCCATGCATAAAAGCATGTAATTTACAATGTTAAAAATAGAAAATATATAGCATTTACAATAATTATGAATTTAATGAATTAATTACACACAATTATTATAAACCATACACACATTGACATATCGTATATTATAATATTAAACAACATAGCCTTTAAGTAACCAATACAAGTTATTCATTTAATAACAATTCAGATAATTCAAAATTGTTCATCAAAATATACCAAAGTTATTACTAAGAATTATTATTTTTATAATAATATGGAATGAAAAATATTACTAATGTACGAATTATATATTTATATATACTTAAAATACTTATGTTAGTTAGAAATAATATATTAATTGTTCTCTGTCTTATATCATGTATCTTAATTTACTAGGCCAGTTACACACATTTTGAAGTAAGAAAGTAAAACAATTAATCTGATACTTATTTTCAACGAACACGGTAAATATTTTTAAACATGCATTTTACTTCATCATTATTATTTATTTATTGTTGAGT